TCTCTTTGCTGTTTGTGCATTTTGGGTTATGCTTGATAGTCTATTTATGCCATAAATTAGGGCCCCTAAATTTGCCCCTAGTTTTTCTTTCAGGAACTGTGTAGTTTTAGGTTTCACATTTAAGTCTTTGATCCATCCATTAGTTTTTGTGTATGGTGGGAGGTACAGGTCTTGTTTCATTTTTCTGCAAATGGATATCCAGTTTTGCTAACACTATTTGTTAAACAGACAATCTCATCCCCATTTAATGGATTTCAGCCCTTTGTCAAAGATCAACTGACCATAGGTGGATGGATCTGTTTCTGGTTTCTCAATTCTATTCCCTTGGTCTGTGTGTCTGTCGTACCAGTACTAAGCAGTTTTGACTACTGTGGCTGTATAGTAGGTTTTAAGATCTAGGAGTGTGATCTTTCTTCTTCTTCTTCAATAGTGCTTTGCTTATCTGAGGTCTCTCTCCTTTCCATATAAAGTTAGTGATTGTTTTTTCCATATCCTTAAAGAATGTTGATGAGATCTGGATTGGCATTGTATTGAATGTGTGGATCGCTTTGGGTAGAATTGACATTTTCACAATGTTCAATCTTCTTATCCACAAGCATGGTATGTTCTTCCATTTATGTAGACCTCTTACGGTTTCTTGAAGTAATCTTTTGTAATTTTCTTTGTACAGAGTCTTTTGTGTTCCTGGTAAGATTTATTTCCAAGTATTTTATTTTATTTTTTTTGGTAGCTATTGTAAATAGTATTGATTTCCTTATTTATTTTTCAGCAATCTCTTTGCCTGGCATAGAAGCATCCAACTGGTTTTTGGATGTTCATCTTGTATCCTGCCATTATGCTAATCCTCTCAATTAGTCTCAGTAGATTTTTACTAAGTCTCTTGGCTTTTCTAGGTTTAAGAGCATATCATCAGGCCATAGGGATAGTTTGACTTCTTCCTTACCAATTTGGATGCCTCTGATTTCCCTTTCTTGCCTTATTACCCTGGCTAGGACTTCCAATGCAATGTTGAATAGAAGTGGTGATAGTGGGCATCTTTATCTGGTTCCTGTTTGTGAGGGGAATGATTTCAATCTCTCTCCATTGAGAATAATGTTGGCTGTTGGGTTTGCATATATGCCCTCTGTTATGCTGAAGAATGTCCTTTCTTTTCCTGTTAGGCAGAGAGTTTTGATCAGGAATGGGTGTTGAATTTTATCAAATGCCTCTTCTGCATAATTTACATGATCATGTGTTTCTTTTCCTTTGTTTATTTTATGTGATGGATGACGTTGTTTGTTTCTCTAATGCTGAACCATCTTTGCATACCTGATAGGAATCTCACTTGGTCATAATGAATTATTTTTTTGTGGTATATTGTTGGAGTGTATTGGCTAGGATTTTGTTGAAGATTTTTGCATCTGTATTCATGAGGGATATTGGTCTGTAGTTTTCCTTTTGAGTGATGTCTTTGTCTGGTTTTGGTATCAAGGTTATGCTTGCTTCATAAAATGAGTTAGGGAGGATTCTGTCCTTTTGTATGTTTTGGAATAATTTGAATAGGATTGGTGTCAGTTCCTTTCTGAATGTTTGGTAGAATTCTCTGGTGAAACTGTCTTGGCCAGGACTTCTTTTTGTTGGTAATTATTTTATGACCTCTTCAATTTCTCTTTTGTGATGGATCTGTTCAACTTTTCCATGCCAGTCTGTGTTAGTTTAGGTAAATGGTGTGTTTCTAGAAATGTGTCCATTTCTTCCAGATTTTCAAATTTGTTGGATTACAGTTCTTCATAGTATCCTGATATTATCCTTTTTATTTCAGTTGGTTCTGTTGTGATGTCACCCATTTCACTTCTTATTCGTGTTATTTTTGTTCTGTCTCTCTTTTCCTTTGTTAAATTTGCCAGTGGTTTGTCAGTTTTATTAATCTTTTCAAAAAACCAACCTCTAGCCTTGTTGATTTATTCTATTGTCTTTCTATTTTCTGTAGCATTTATTTCTGCTCAAATCTTTATTATTTCCTTTCTTCTGGTGACTGAAGGCTTATCTTGTTCTTTTTCTAATTGTTGAAGATTTGGCTTTAAAGTGTTGATTTTAGCCCCCCCCCC